TAGGCACAAACAACTGTGGGATGGAAGACAGAGACATTGGGCCAACGCAGGCAGCTCAATTTTGGCAACAACGTAAACTGACCAGACAGAGACCACACTAAAGCAGAGATGATGAAGAGGGGGCTTCGTTCTGTCCTGTGCCGGGTCCTAACTGACTCTGCAGCACCTACCAACACCGGCAAGCACAGGTGTGAGAGACCTAAGGTGGCCTAGAGAGCAAGAACGATCTGCAGAGACGAATGGCCAACCATCCATGGAGAATTAATGTGGCCATGCAGAGCTTCAGAGCAGTGCAGCCTGGTTTGAACCTGGCTGATGGAACGGCCTGGAGCAGATCTGAATTTGTAGAACGTTGAGGAGAATCCTAGCCAGATGCAAAAACGGCAGGTCAAAGCTCTGCTAGAAACTTCATCTCCCTCGGAGAAAACAAGGGCAGAGTGGTGATGCATAGCAACCAAATCTCTTGACCGACCCAGTCAGAACTAGTGGTGCTCTGCACTTAGAAGGCTGCCTTCTGCTGTGCTGTGGTTGTGTTGCTCTCCACAGCCCTGGCGAGAATCCAGTCTCCCCCTCATGCCTCTCCCGAGCTTCCCACTCCACAACTTCCATCGTCATTGTCCCTGTTCTGGGACGCATCTTGGATACCCAGAGTTAACAATTCCAGTCTGTTCCCGTTTCTCTTTGTTGGCCATGACCTTTGTTGGCAGATGTGTTTATGTCGTATTCATCAGTTCATTCAGTTCCTTGTCCCCCATAAAGGGTCAAATTTCTCAAACCTGAGCTGTCCTCCCTGGGTGGGAGGTGATGAGGAACCCTTCATTTACAGAGCTTTTGAAGGTGCGACGGGAGAAACACCTTCCTCTTCTCTCCCCCCTGCAGTATAAGAACGCTGGCGTAATTGAGTTAGAAGCTTGTGTCAAAGCGGTACGTGTCCTGGCAATTCAGAAGCGGAGCATGGAAGCATCGGAATTCCTTCAGAACGCAGTATACATTAACCTCCGACAGGTGAGTGCCATGAAGTGAGGTGAGAGTGAGCGCGGGGCAGGGCTTGTATGTTACACTTAGGTTTTTTTTTTTGTTTTTTTTTTTGCATCTTGCTTTCAAAATTCAGAATTTGCCATCCTTTCAGATTTCTTTTCTGATTGGAGAATAGTTGTGCCTTTTGCCAGCTTTGCCGCCTGGAACAAGCTTTATCCCTCTCCACCTTAATTCTGTTGTTTGTGAAGTAGTTGCCGGTCGGTTGTCAATGAGCGGATCTCCCCAGCTGTCGGGCTGTTTGCTTTATAAAACATTGGGTTTATGATAGTACTTTGTATAGTTTCTCTTACACAGTAGATGCTACTCTACAGATAAGACAAATCTGAAAATGGATCCGTTCTTCAACAATAAAAATAGAACTCTAAACTAAAAATAGGTCTTAAACTCTTTAAACCAGACAACAGTTCAGCTTAACTAGTAAAGCATATCCTCCTCGGGCATCTTACTCTTACCAGCTATGTGCACAGGATGAATGAACCACAGCACCTCGAAAAGTTAGATCGGAACCTTAGGGGCAGTGAGTGTGTGTCAGTGTGGGAGGAATAGCTCGGAAAACGAGGCTGAGGATGGTTGTATACCTCGAAGAATGTTAACACCGTCACTGCATTGCCCATGTCAAAATTGTTGACTTGCAGTCAGCTCTGCGATGTATGTTCTCAACCACAAAGTAAATAAAATGAAAAGGCTAAACTAACAGAACCCCAGGATGATTAAAACATTGAGTTGTGTGTTGATGATACAAAGTCCCCACCTTTATAATCCAGAAAGGTTACAGGAACATCCAGTCCAACTTGGGTCTTTTCAGCCTGGGAAGCCCGGATGCAGTTATGTAACTTTCCACGGATGGCAGTAGGGTCATGTTAGTTGGACAGTCAGTCATTCCTTGAGCCCCGCAGTGTGCTAGGAAGGGCGAGAGGTACTGAGGTTGACTCTGCCGTTAGTGAGTGAGTGGACATTCAACAGGACAGACAGTGACCATGCGGGAAAGTGAAAGAACGTGGAGGTACAACTGTTCACAAAGGCAGCAAGTTTGGGGAGGGGTGGAAGTCTCTCAGGCCTGGAGGACTTGGAAGGCGAACTGACAATGGGGAGGTAAGAAAAAAGGCATCCCAGGAATATGGCCAACACATGAGAGCCTGTGGACACCAGAGGGGCATTGTGTCGGGGAGGGGGTGGTGGTGGGATGGAGAATGTCTGGTGTGTTGGGGGAGGGGAATAGAGGAGGGGCTGCAGACACACAGAGAGACAGGGAGAGACAGAGGGAGAGAGATGAGAGAGACAGAGGGAGAGAGATAGAGACAGAAAGAGATAGCAAGACTGACGGAATAAGGGAGAGGGAGAGTCAGATAATAGAGAGAGAGGACAAGCCAGAGCAGCGACTTTGTGGCCGGGAGGAATTTTGGGAATTCTTTTAGAGGGAAGGTCTTCAGTGGCAGCACTGGTGTGATCAGCTTTGTCCTGGGCCAGGTGAGGGGGGTAGGGGGCCCAGCGACGAGATTTGTGTGTGTGTTTCACAGTGACTCTGACCAAGTGCTAGTACGGGAGGCCGGACCTGAGTCCAGGGTCTTTCCTCGTCTCTGGTGGCCTCGAGCTTCCCAAGGCTGCGGTTCTGCCTGTGGTCACATGGCTGTCTTCCTTCAGTGTCTCTTCACCATTTCTTAAAAAATCACCAGCCGTAAAGAGATTGTGTGGTTGTTAAGTGCCATGGAGTCAGTTCCGACTCGTAACGACCTTTTGCACAACAGAACGAAACCCTGTCTGGTCCTGTGCCATCCTTATAATTGTTACATTTGAGCCCATCGCTGCAGCCACTGTGTTGATCCATCTCATTGGGGGTCTTTCTCTGTTTCACTGACCCTCCACTTTACCAAGCATGATGTCCTTCTCCAAGGACTGGTCCTTCCTGGTCACATGTGCCACGTACGAGAGACGCAATTTCATTTCTAAGGAGCATTCTGGTTCTTCTTCCAAGACAGATTTATTTGTTCAGGAATCCTCGCCAACACCATAATTCAAACTCATCAGTTCTTATCCTGCCTTCCTTATTCATTGCCTAGCTTTCATATGTAGATAAGACAATTGGAAATACCATGGCTTTGGTCAGATGACCCTTAGTTCTCAAAGTGACATCTTTGTAATTTTTAACACTTTCAACATATCCTTTGCAGCCCATTTAACCCAGTGCAATAAGCTGTTGGTATTCTTTCACCATACTTATTCAACCTGTATGCTGAGCAAATAATACGAGAAGCTGGGTTCTATGAAGAAAAACGTGGCATCAGGATTGGAGGAAGACTCATTAACAACCTGCGATATGCAGGTGATACAACTTTGCTTGCTGAAAGTGAAGAGGACTTAAACCATTTACTTATGAAGATTAAAGAGCACAGCCTTCGGTATGCATTACATCTCAATGTAAAGAAAATAAAAATCCTCACCACTGGACCAATCAACAACATTCTTATCAACAGAGGAAAGATTGAAGTTGTCAAGGACTTCATTTTTCTTGGATCAACTGTCAACACTCACGGAAGCAGCAGTCAGGAAATCAGACGACGTATTGCATTAGGCCAATCTGCTGCACAGGACCTTTTTAAAATGTTGAAGAGCAAAGATGTTAGTTTGAGGACTAAGGTGCGCCTGACCCAAGCCATAGTATTTTCAATGACCTCATATGCATGTGAAAGCTGGACAGTGAATAAGGGAGATCGTAGAAGAATTGACGTATTTGAGTTGTGGTGTTAGAGGAGAATATTGAATGTACCATGGGCTGTCAAAAGAACCAACAGCTCTGTGTTGGAAGAAGTGCAGCCAGAGTGCTCCTTGGAGGCCAGGATGGCCAAATTTCGTCTCTCATACTTCGGACATGTTGTCAGGAGGGACCAGTCGCTGGAGAAGGATATCATGTTTGGTAAGGTGGAGGGTCAGAGAAAAAGAGGAAGACCCCCCAACGAGATGGACTGGCCAAGTGGGGTTGGCCCATGATCGGGCAGTGTTACGCTCTGCTGGGCATAAGGTCGTTATGAGTTGGTACCGGCTCGATGGCACCTGACAACAACAACAACAACAACAACAACAACAACAACATGCTGTTTGATTTATTTCTTCTTGTTTAATTTCCTGACTGCTGTTTCATGGGTGTTGCCTGTGGATCCAAGTAAAATGAAATCCTTGACAACTTCAAATGATTTCTTCATTTTAAATGGAGGCAATAGAGACTTGTTCAGTGTCACTGGATGAGTTCCGGCCCATAGTGACCCTGTATAGGGTTTCTGAGGAGTGACTGGTGAGCTTGAACTATGGACCTTGCAGTCCAGCTCATGAATCCACTGTCCCACCCCAGGGCTCTAGCAGAGAGACTAGAGCACACTAATTATCTAGACAGTGAGACCCTGCGAGCTAGGGCTGAGTAGAACTGCCCGTAGGTTTCCAGGGCTGAAATCGTAACAGAAGTGGACTGCCCATTCTTTTTCCCACAGAGCACCTGGTGGATTTGAACCACTGATTTGGAAGGCCGATGAGCGTTTAACCTCTGTGCTGCCAGAGCTCTTTAAATATTAATGTGAGTCAGAATTGACTCATTGGCCCTCGTTAATTTACTAATTGCTTCTTAATTAATTACATATGCAGAGACTCTGTCTCCAAACAAGGTCACATTCCGAGGTTCCAAGGGTTGGGAGTTTAGCCTGTCTTTGGGGGGTCCCAGGTTACCCCACAGCAGGTGGTGAAGGGAGGGATTCTTGGCTGACTGATGTGGGTTTCTGGCTTGAGCAGTTAGGGAAGGATGGGGCGAGGAAGCCTGCAGAGGGAGGGGTTTGTTGGGAGGTGTTGACTTCAGTGTGTGGGGGAGTGGGCTTCGGGAAGGGAGAAGGCAGTATGTGGGAGAATTGTGGGTGGCTCTGAGAACGTTCTACACTTCCAACTTGCAGAAAAGTACCGCTAGTCCTCAGTCAAGGAGCTCTGGTAACATACGTAGTGTTTATGATTCGGGCTGCTAATCTCAAGGTCGGCAGTTTGGAACTACCAGCTGTTCTGTGGGAGAAAGATGAGACTTTCTGCTCCCGTAAAGAGTTACAGCCTCGGAAACCCTGTACAGAGTTGCTATGAGGCGGGGCCGACTCCATAGCACATGACCACCAACCACCACCAGTCCTCAGTCACGGGTGTCTCCTTCTTCTGGATTTCACGTGCTAACCTTTGACCACGGTAACCGTGGATGGTCTCAGTCTTGAAAACAAAATAAAATAACCTTCAGAGTTCACTGCCATCTCAGAGCCGATGTATAAAAAGAGAACATTTCAGAACAGTCGTTAAGCACATGGACATGGGGGTCCGATTCACCCCCTCAGACAAGCCAGCCAACCTCTCTGTGCCCCTGGTCCCTCATCTGAAAATTGAATCTGCCCCTGGGGTCCCTTCACCTCGAATTTCCGAGATTGGATTTAGAAGACTGAGAGTGAGGACAACGCGGCCGCCTCACACTGAAGCAGAAATAACACAGAGCCTGTAAACCGAGAGAAAACCCATCAACTGAGAAAAACCCATCAATGGTTTCGTTACTGTTTAGTGTCAGGAAGTAGTACCACAAAGACGCAGCTGGGTCAGGAACATCTGTATCACCTGACAACAGGGTGAACACAAGGCCAGCCTCTCAGGGATTAGGTCTCCAGGGGAGGGCGGGAAGAGCAGAGGCCGGGCCCTCCAGAGCCTAGGCACTGGAACATTGTCCTGAGAACAGCCAACCACACGTGATCACGAGGGCAGTGTTTGCTCAGCAATAAAGGGACCAGAAAGAAGGATGACGGAAACAGGAAACACAGGCGGAAGCAGGAAGAGTGCTGTCACTCTGCCATGTCAAGGGCTGTTGAATAGACAGCCAGTTTGCTCTGTAAACTTTGACCTGGATACAATAAAAAAACCAAAAACAAACCCCCCAAACACTGGAATGTTTTCATATTGACAGAAGG